ACCAAGCCACACAAGCTATGGTTCTGAGACAACTATTGTCGAACACCTGAAGACGTCTCAGATCTGCTGCTCGAATAGACCAAGTCTCACAGCCATACAACAGAACAGCCCGTACTGTAGCTTGATACACACGTCCCTTCGGATTAAGGGATAAACCATTCTGACGCCATAGGTGTCTCTTTCCGGAATAGTGATATTAAAGCGATAGAGTAAACAATGTTTGACAGAATTTGGTCTCTTTTTTTGACAGTGGTACTAACACCTCTCAACCTATTGCTTACCTAGTGTGACCTAGCTTCGATAAAATGTGACTTCCTTCTCGTATATTTATAGCGTGATTAAGAAAAAGAAGAGCAGGAAGGATACATTTAGCAGGCAACCAGAGTTACACAATCAATTTCCACTTTTTTCGCCCGTTACTTCATTCTGATATCCATCAGAAAATACTTACAACATCACGCCTAGCCCTTGGAGGAGATTATTTTTGTGGTGTTCTCAAGGGAGTGGGGCGTAAAACAATGTGTTTAAATCAAATGCAGTAAGAAAAATTCGAAACCTCTCAAATACGCAGTGTTGATACTCAGTAATTGTTCGAATCAGAATGGTTTCAGCCTTCAAATGGAACATGTTAGCATGAAATAGCAGATTTGGTTCACTATGTCAAATCAGGCGCGAACCCTAGAGGATGAAAGGGAGAAATTGCTATTTCGCCGTTTTATATGGAAGTGACAATAACACGAGGAACTGCTTACGCAGATCTGACTTTTATTCACGGAGGGAAGCTATCTCAGAAAATTTCAAAAGACAGCTTGTGTTTGTATCCAGCACGAGCTAGATGCATTCGTTGGGTCGACGCGATGTTAAATCTGAATCTGACGGCAAACCACCAAAGACGATGTGTCCTCTATGGTTCTGATGCTTGTCTATGCGTCTGACGGGCCATCCGTTCCACTGCTTTCAGCCGAACTTACCTTTTCATTCTGTCTGGATAATTGGCGAAGCAACCACACATGAATCGATGGATGATGTCGAATTTGACAGGTGGAGGTAACGGAACCTTCACTACGAACAGCGGAATAGGACCTGTCTTTTCAAAACAGGGTGGCCTAACTGCGTACTCGTTCATCTGCATCACAGATGTCAAACGGTTTTGAACAACTCCGCTTACTTTCAACAAACTTTGGGCTGTTTGACTTCGTTTTTTGAGGACCACCTCATACTGTATGATAGGCACCTTGTTGTTTGGGTGAGAGCAGACCGAATATTGCGCCGGCCTGTTTGGCACTTTCCCCATGTCCTATCTAAACCACTGGTTGATAATCTTGGTAGCTCGGGTGACTGACTGTTGATCAAGTGGCGGTTGATCTGTTCATCGAACTTGACAGTTAGTTTCCACTGACGAAGCCAGATCGTGTTGTTCATTGTACAAGTGACTGACTGTTGATCAAGTGGCGGTTGAGCTGTTCATCGAAATTGACAGTTGGTTTCCACTGACGAGGCCAGATCGTGTTGTTCGTTGTACAAGAACGACATAAAGACGTGGTGCCAGCCGAACCACCGTTTGCCGAAGAGCGTGTTGTTTTCCGTACCCAACTCAGAGTGATGGTAGAGGGATATGAAAGAGATTACAAAGCGTTACAAAGCTGTTGGTGCTGCTCGCCTTTCAGGATGGAGACCGCGTGATCCTCGATGTGCCTGGTTGAAGGCACCGCAAGTTATGGCTGCTAATCGATGTCAGTGGCGTTCTCGTTGTCATTTTCTATCCAGATTTCTTGAATGGGTGTTTGGAGAATGTTTGTAGGAAGCTAACACTAAGCCTCTTCCCCGTCCACTTTTTCACAACGAGACTTTCAAATGAACCATGGTTGTTCGTCGGCAAAGCGTCCATGTTGAACTTTGATATTGTGCAGTCGATGATGATGGTGATGCATACCGAACAAGGAAGAATCGCATGGCGTAGAAGCAACGTTCCATTTGAGCAACTTTTTGACCCTGTTGAAGATGACTGGATTTGTTATTCGATTTCGTATTCTGTAGATCGTCGCGATGGTCAATTCGCTGCCACAATCGGAATCGCATCTGCATTTGACAATAGGATATGTCGTCCTCTCTCTCTCTGTGAACCGATGGCTGCTGTAAGTCTAAGGTTCCAGCTGAACAAACTTTTCTACCCTCGACAGGGCCGGTAATCAATGATGGCTCTAGTGATACCGCCAACTATACGTTCAAACACACCACTCTGGCTTCCAAATCTGTAGTTTTCCTAGTAGGCAGTTCAACTTTCTATAGACGTAACGCATTACTCATAAGGTTGCTGAAGACCCTTAGACAGCCAACTGAAACACGAAGCGGCTCGGTACAGCATGTCCATTTTAAGCAAAATGGTATAAACGAGAGATTCAGATTGGTCTCCCGTGAAAACCAACTTGGTACGTAAATCAATGTACTTTGGTAAGTTCGACTTTCTGTTTTGCTTGAATCCGGCCACCTATTTGACACACAGCTAAGGTTTAGTCTCGTTCCTACCTCTCATTTTAGCGCTGCATCATGCCCGTAGCCCCATGGCATCTTCGGCCGTTAAAGTAGTTCGATCAGCAGGCTCTCAGCCTTCTGCACAGCTGACTGTTCGTATTGATTCTGGTGATTTTCGCTGTCATATAACAAGTTGTTTTGACAAAAAAGTTTTCTTAAGCCAATATTTTAGTGTTTGCTAGCGCGATCTCGGCCGCGCCAGCACCATATTCTAAATCGGGGAAAGTGACCGTGGATGCTATCGTTCAGTCGATTCTAGGGAGCATTACGCTAATTCTACACCAATCTCGCGATTTGCTGTGTCATTTTTCCTCAGCTAAAAAGCTAATGAATGTTAGAATTGTTTTTCATTACAAATGTACTGACCCTCAGAATCAGATAGCCGCATTTTTTCTCTAACAAACGTTTACCACTTCCTGTTTCAGCTGAAGTTTGGCCGGGCCCTCTCGACATGAACCAAATCTGTGGTGTTTGCGGCTGGGGTCTCCTCATCCTGGTCACTTTTCTCCCAAGAGGGGAAGGTAAGTACTTTCTGAGGTGATGGATGGTTTATGGATATTTTACATGGTTCATTTTACTGTGATTTCATTTTTCATCTGTGGGCGACAGACACAGATTTAACTTGTGTTCCAACGTCATCAGCACGGTAAATACGGTTTTTGGTGCAGATATACGGTCTCGTCTTCAGTTCCAACGCATGGCTGCACAAATTTCTTCACCAGGACGGCGTTTTCTTTTCCTGTATCCAAACGACTGTAGTCTACATTCAGGCGAGTTTTTTCTGATGAAAGCTATCTACCCCACCCCACCCCGGCTGACTTTCCGGTTTTAAGGCATCCTCTCTCTAAGTTTGGTAAATAGCTAGCAAATCCAGCTAAATTTTATTAAAGGCGAGAGATCCCAGCTGGGATTGCCATTAACATCAAACTAATCTGCAATTTGGAACTCTGGGTATTTGTCCACCAAGCAGAACGAAACCGGTGGTGGAGTTGTGTTAAGGTAGCTAACATGAGCCTTTGTTGAGGATTCGCACTCAGGAGAGGCTACTGTTAGCTGCTATCATTTTTGGTTTGTCCTTTAAAAACTATTTGTTAGTGTGCTCGACAAACTGAGATGAGGAAGCGTCGGTCAAGTACACTGACTAGTTGCATCGACCACTTCAGTTTGACCTTCTTTCGCCCTTCTATACCTGAAGCGCGCTTTCAACAGCGAGAACAAAATGAAAGGGCTTGTAAATTAATTGGAAATTACTCTATTATATCTCAATTCCCCCGCACCCGTGTGATGCATTCGGCTGGCGTTTAAGAAAACCTTAGTTGCGTCGCAATGTTTTGGTTTTGGTGCAGATTATCTAGAAAACAAATCCTGAAAATGTGTGTTGTCCGTCACCTCCTACCACCATAGTCTTGAAGACTCGATTCGGCCGATCATCATATCTTAGATAGGGCCAACCTACTTTACTCAGAGAGCTGACTGACAGACTGTTCTCTGAGTTGATTAAAAGGACACCTGATTTCAGCGAATATACACTCATTTGCAAATTTATTTGGCTTATCCAGAGACTACCTGGAACCCAGGTGAATCTCTCGTTTGTGATGTTCTCAGGCAACTGAATGTGTTTCAAGTAGAACATAAGGTTGACGGAAACCAGGGGACTGCGCCTACCTGATGAGCCCCAAAAAGGGGCGAAACCGGTCGTGGGCTGTCGACGGATTTTCAGCAACCTTGTTAGTAGTAAATTACAAAGTTAAACACCTGATTTCGTTTTTTATATGAGTTGAGGAGATTTCCAGAAAGTTTGAAGAATCCTAATTTCCTCCAGAGTTATGGATTTGCCGTGAATAAAATTCGATGTGCTGTTTTCAACATTACAAGCTTGATAGAAAACCTCCTTTATGCCAACTAAACGGGATGTCCCGTGGAATCACTTGTTGCTTTTTTCAACCTGTTTCAACAACAAAGTCACAGACTGGATCGGGTGGTAACAAGCAGCTGACCCACGGTGAATGGTTTCCACAAACACATTCCGTTTCCAAATTTGCCAGAAGGTGTTCTGTTTGAAATTCAATTTTGGGTATAAGCTCTCTTTTTGAGTTGTGGGATTTTTCGTGGTATTTATGGGGACCCTAGTCCAATTCTCTGACTACCGGCCTGAATAAACCCTATTGGAGTAATTTTCACTGCACATTTGATTGGAGAAGAACTTGATTCGATAACCAAATGGACCCGATTAGTTGAAAAAGATGGGGCTGGCAAACTTTGCCATCTTGCACTGATACCCGTACACTTACTTTACCAGGGATAAGCTGGAATAATTTTCACCTCACTTTCAAGTACATTTTCTCCGTACTTTAGCAATAATGAACTGCGCGAAGTTCATCAATCATTTGATGCAACAGTTTCCGGTGGACTACCCAGAGGATCGATATTGTGAGTACCATCTCATTTTCAGGTTTTTTTCATTAGAGGCGAGTTTTTCATACAAATGTGATTTACTTTCGATACAGCTTAACATGCGAGGTGGCTGAAGTGAGCCGCTTTCTTTGTGCTCTTGCATGATCTTGGTGAATTGGAGGGGTACATCGAGATTAGTGCAGGCTTGGTCTGCACGGTAGGTGTAAGGTCACTAGAATAGCTGAAAACAGTTAGTCGCCCAACTGTTGAGCTCCATCCACATAGACAGAACATTTTCAAACAGCTACTGTTCATACATACTTGATGTCGAGCTACTCTCTGAATCGTTAAATCTGAAAACCGATATCCACAGCGAGTAAATACAGCGCGACAAAATCCCAGTGCTTCACTATAAGTGCACTACTAATCAAGAGAGTGAAACGATTTCTAGATTTCACTTGAGGAGTTTTGTTCCGAAAATCCGCGAGGAGTTGCTTTTAAGGAACTGACATAAAATCGGAGACAGACGGAAAACAGGCACTAAGCCAATGGAGAACCACCCCAGGTACTCTCTTTTCATGTTGAATTCCGGTCATATCATCCTTTACGGAATATGTAAATGACATTAACGCCCATGTTTCCACAGTTACGTTCTACAGAGTCCATCCGTACGTCTTTAGTCGTAGACATACATCTCTGCATGCTCAGTGTACTGACATGCCTCAGTGGTTCCCAGAGCGTTATCACATGAAACAGAAGCCATCGTCAGAACGAATGAGTTGTATGAAACTATGTTTGTCTTACTGGAGCATTTTCTCTTCCTATCTACCTGTGACAGTGACGAGTGTTTTTCACCTTGCTAGGAAACACTCCAAAGTATTAAGTGCTGATAAGTATTGTGAATTTACCAATTTCCAGCAAAAACCAGTACTACTCCGCTGAAATTTATTTCTTCTCTATTCGAATCTTATCCGTTACATCATCATGTTTAGAACGAATCAGGTATCACCGTCCAAGGTCAGTCCAAGGTCAGCGACATTCAATCAGGGACCATGTAAATCTCTTAATTTTTCTTGGTTTCACGCACTCCGAAATGGTTACGGAATGTCAATAACCCAAGACTCGCTGAGTAATTGTGCTATCGCAGAAATGGTAAGCTCTCAGATGGACTTCGAGGCATCCCACTCTACAGGGTGAACTACCAACCAAGATTGGTTAACGTCAAAGAGTCTGTTGCATACCTTTAAAATTAAGATCTGTAGTCTCGATTCTCAATACCACAAGACGGAAGAATGAGATATTACAGCAAGACATTACAGCAATGGTCCATACCTCTTGGTTTATCAGAGGCGGATTATGTTCCGCCACGTTTTGGTGGTGAGTTGCCTGACTTGCAGTAATGTGCTCAGCCCGACTCAGCACTGGTGTGGCATTGAAAAATATCGAACCCGCAAAGACTTACAAGATGAGTAAATGCTTCTATACAACGAAAACGGACGGTTCGGTCTCACTCGGGTGCCCGGCAAGGGTACTTTGAAGCTATTTGGAAAGGCCTTGAGGCGAACCTTTCGGAAGTCAAGGGGGCCTATATGTCAGTGGACGGATGTTCAAATGAAGATAAACTACAGCGCTTATGCGTTTTGTGAATAACAAATGCTGCATAACTCATGAATCTGTAGAGAAATTCGAACTGGAGAAATTTCGGTTATTAGCTGATGACACTCAGCCACGGATGATGTACTAAACTAGCACTTAAACAGGACGCGGCACCATTATCCTTCAGTCACGTGATATCTCCCCTGTTATCGGGCATGGCCAATTCCTCGAACGATCTTTCAGGTACGGGATATTTTGTCTGGATCAGTTATTCATGGACAGTCCGAAAACTTTGAAGTTGTTTGCATCGAACTTCCCCACTCATTGGTGTTGCTGATGATTAACGACAAAAATTGTATCACCATGCAGTGTTTCTCCTCGTTTCAAGATGGATTATGTTTGCTTACAGGAATGAGTCCCAACTGAAAGTCCTCTTATTCGGAACCTTTGATGTGCTTGAAATGCGAAACCAAATAACAGGGCACCATCAACTTCTGCTTCCGTACTTTCGTGAGACGGCACCATCATTAAGGGTTGCTTTTCCCTATGAATCAATGGATAAAAGTGACTGGAGTGTCGTTGTACTACTGTTAGTCAGTTTTTATCTGCCTCGATGAGTTGTAGGTAACTCGGAATGATTGTGGTAGACTAGTACTAAGTCTGCTCCCTGTTTAATTTCATTCTTTTCTTCAAAATGAATCTAGCAAATAAATCGTGGTTATACGGCAGCGAAGCATCAGTGTCGAACACTGATGTCATGCTGTCGATGATGATAGTGTTATGGGTGATGATGGCATTGATCCTGACTGAGCAGTACGGTGGAAACCGACGGCCAGGTCATAACGGTTACTTCAGTTCCACACTGCTCTTGATGATGATGATGATGATGATGTTGATGATGATGATGATGGTGAATCGCACAGAAAAGGTGTAATTAACAAGACCTTTTTGTGTCACGGCGGAAGTTGAAAAGAACGAGGCTTCACAACGTAAATCTTCTCCGTCCAAAAAGAAAACGAGAATGGCTGCAGCCAGTCGTTTCACTGCTCCGCCTGCCAACATTGTGACGTATGGTTTTGGTCTAACGGTGCTACCGAATTCCGCTCAGGGCATGAGTGTATCAGTTGATCACTAACGTTCTCTGCACAGACATTGTTCTGGACAACCCTGAGTCGGCTCCAAATATAGTCGGCGTCGCCACTGCTTGCAAAGGACGATCAAAAGCAGCAACAATCGTGGAACAATGCTGGATTTGATGTGCTGGGGACTGGCCGGAGATTTAGTCTAGATTACACCTCTTAGCTCCGAATAGTCATATGCTGCAGACTGCTGGACGAAAGACTGTGGAGCACAGGACTGTAGATCCTGGGTTGATCTTTTACACCCATTTGGTGTGATGTTCGTCAGTTGCTGTGTTAATTTTATCATTCCGGAGGAAATTGAAATGTCCTCCCGAACGTTGCGGAAACCGCGAACTAAGCTGTTTGCCGTTTGCAACAAATGCCTACATTCTCACTGGTGCAGAATTTTTTGAGACGGTCATCAGATACAAAACTTACAAACAACTATGAGTGGGATTTTGTTCCGTCAATGAAGCCAGTCTGTGCTTCACCGACAGGACAAAACGTCAAGTTTTACCCGATGTGTTATCCTCAGTGTTCGACATGTGAAGTTGTTGACGCAGGGCCCAATGAATGGGGTCGTGAACTTGCAAGCGGACGACCCAGTCCTACCTACGAGTGGACAACCCATGAAAGTGAAGCCGATGATGGTTCCCATAGTAATAATGATAATACTAGTGGTACTAATAATGGTAATGACGTCTCCTTCCGAAGTCGGGGTATTTTGAGCCTGTCCTTGACCCTGTCTTTAGAGTATTTAAAGCTGTTCTAGAGGTTGAGGCACCTCACGTTGCAACTGTGATAGGGAAGTGGCTCAACCGCTCAACTCCATATCGTTCACCATCCCGATCCCTTTAGTTGGGATACCGGTTTTCCACTTTGCTCTTTTCTGTCATGTAGTTTCAACGACATCCATCGATTGGACCACCACCGCCTGTAGAGTTCGGTGTGGCATGATGGACTCCACAGAGCTGGCTTCCACTGATATTTGGCCTCACACAGCTGCGAAGTCATAGAGGAGGACGGAGGGATATATGTACTTGGGCAGCAGATAAATTAATATTGACAGAAACAACAGAACTGTGGCGAACAACAGATTGACCGACAGGAAGCACCTGTTTGGTTTTAAGACGTTTGTTTAGGTGCATCATAAATACGGACAGCAGCAGCAAGCTAGCAATTCGGAGGATTTCGGGAAACGGTTACAAGAGTCAGCGTGGCGGTCTCCGCATGACAAGTGATGAAATAAAGCAGTACATCAAAAGAAATTACGGAAAAAACGACATACAGGGTGCGGAGGATGAGACGCCCGTGAGGGCCATCAGACCATTGGGGAGAAACAACCGAACAGTTACGGATAGATGTAAACAAACCGAGCGGTCAGAAAAGTGATCGGCAGCCAAAAAACCCACCACAATTCCATGTTTGCTCCTTAGTGTGCACCATCACACCTATGGCATACACGAATTGCTCTAGGGTCAGAGGGAGACGGGAATCACACAGAATGAAATGGCCTTGGACACTTCGTGCGCAGAACAACCTGGGCCAGGTGTTGCGTGGAGTGATCTTGGTCACGTGCCCCGTGACCAGGTCAGTAGTGTTCTGAAATCCATCCTGACGTTCAATGTACACTCGATCCCTGGCAAGACCAGCTTCCCCTATACATGGTGTACTCAGGTATACGCAGAGCCGGTAATGATGAATGTGAAAATTGAGCAACCAGTTACTTTTCCTCGCAAGCACATACAACCAGTTGATTGTCCGCCGCATAAATAATAATTCGGGTGGCCTGGCAGCTATGTGTAGATAAGACGTCACAACTGAACGGCTATCAGTACTATTTGAATACAGCCAGTCGACGGATCGTCCAGCTGCAAGATTCATGAAGGTAAGATTAGCTTCGGTGATTGCTGAGGCGTGTAAGACAGCCGTGTTCGATCAACCGAACGGATCCTCATCACTATTGACGGCACAAAATTAGTGTTCAACACTGTCGCTTCGCTTCCATACAACCATAGAATAAAATATCTAAGGCGATTTATTATCATCTAGGCAAAATAAGAGGTTGTGGCTCCAATTCTCCTGACAGAACAAAATCCTCAGGATGAACTTGTTGTCGAAAGAAAGGGCTTTTAATTCACCATACATGCAAACATGACTTAGCAGATGAGTCTTACTTTTGAACAAGATGGTAATCATGTAGTCTCGTAGACGTTGTGCTACTCGAAGAAAATCCAGAAACCCCTAGGAGCGGACAATCTTTCTAGAGGATATCGCTCCTCATAGGTATTACTGCATTCAAAAAAGTAAACAGTCACTTTCTGTACACTCAACATTTATTACCTTTTTGTTTTGTTCCAGATTTAAGGTGCGCAGACAAAAGATGCCTGTTGCACGTATTCCTAGAAAAGGATTTCTTTGCAGCAAAGCGAATATGCAATCAACTGACTGCAGAGTTGTGGATTCCGCGACCAAACGAGGTAAGTTAAAATGTTAATTTTCTGCTGCTTGCTGGTCACGGTTGCCCCGCTTCGGAAAATGCCCTTTTGCGCTCGATTCAATTAACCCAGGCTTATCTACAGGTTTGGTATTTCCGGAAGATAGAATTAAAACGTCGCAACTCTTCTTTCAAAATTAGGCGATTTCTGCGAAATTCCTTTTGTGCTTAAATTTATTTTAGCGACGACAGTTCGGTGGGTCAGAAGGAAGCGCGGTCTGTCTAGAATTAAGTGTCATCAAACCTCTGCCGAGGCTTGAGCGCTGATTTTGAAAATCGGGAAATCAATATTACAACCCCAGCGGACAATCTTCTCCTGATGAGCTGTGTTATGGGTCGGGTAAATTTTTCAGCACGGAAGTTCAAGCGTAAACCAATCACATCGTTTGCATCTGTCTCTGTAAGGCAGTACTACTTGTTGCACAAGGGAGTTTTGTGCATAAGATGGCTCAGAAGGTTAGTTTACTGAATTCATCTCACCAGTAGCTAGTTGTGGATATCGGTCCAAAAACGCATCCTCTTTGGTTGTCTTTGGATTTCAGTAAGGTTTCCCTGTTTATGGCTGACACATTCACACTGTCTTCACTGATTTATGATGACCGTATGGATGAATCGCTGCTGGACACAAAAGGTGATCACGTGAAAGGAACGGATATAGATGGCTGGTCTAGATACCACAGCGTTCCTGGTGCATGGGTCTTAAGTGCGAAGTTTAACGCCTGGAAAGCTGAAAGCGGAAAAATCAAAAGGGCTGATTTCGATGAAGCACTAACGATCACACGACTGTCTAAATGAGACGAACGTCCATACTGTTTTCATACCTAATCAAAGTAGCCCAAACCTAGAGAAATTAAAAATATCCCGTGAATGCCGGTTTCAGATCTCTGTTAGTCTTATTACACAGAGCAGGGTCGTTTATTCTTGGCTAATCTGAAAGTGAAAATGAATGAACCATTGTAAAGATGTAACATTACTCACGTCCTTGCGTGAGCTATTTGAGCAGTTATGTACGGTCGTTTTGCTACTGACCCCCGTGTTCAGTCGGCTTTTTATTCAGTAGTTAAATGATTGATACAACATAGCCTTGATTTTGGCCGTGATACAGGTTATCTGCTTAAGCCCAGATGATGTAAAAGTTGGTCGAAATCCAGAGATTCTTTCCTTTCCTCATGAGTCCGAGCAGTAACATCTGCCCTTCCGACCCCGTGGACACGGTTTGTTTTATCAAACCGTAACTAGTTGATCTCGGTCCAATTACTGGTCGCTTTCGGGAAGACAATAGCCAGTGGTAAAGAAGTGGACAGGGTGGTTCATGAGGAAAAAGGAAGCACTTGGATCTCCCCTGTAGACAGCCACTTGTGTGGTAGAATGGAGGTCACGTGGCATTTTATGAAAGTTTTGGTTTCCGTTGGTTGTATTACTGTAAATTTTCTTCTCTTCGTCGACAGTGTTGTGGTACTGTCCTAATTTTAGTCTGGAGGTACATGAACGGACTGACTGATTACAAAGAGGCTTTCACTATTGGGGTAAACGGATTATCGAGCTTCTACGCCTGTCCGAAGAAAGATACGCGATCAAAATACCTTAATGAGATCACCACGAGGACTGTGTTATATAGTCTTCTTTCGGGGTTCGAAATGGATCAAAACTGAGAGGTAAAGCTAATAAGTGAACCGTCCATGACAGTGAACCCGCCTCCCTCGAGAAAAGGAAGGAAATTCATTTTGAAGAGAGAGATGAATTTTCTAGCTGACCTTGCTTTTGTGCTCGAAATGTAGACTCGGTTCTTGGCTAGAACAGCGGTAAACAGGGTTATGAACTCAAATATTCATTGGGTTGATGAAAGTACTTCCTAGATTAGATTAGTCAGGAGAAAGTGAGATATTCAAAAATCAGGAACCGAGTGCACGATGAACTGCTGCAAGAAGTTGCTTGCAATAAACTGACAGACCAGCGACCAATCAGGAGGCACGTGCATAACAGTCGTCCTGCGGAAGCCGATCGCCACCACGTGACATCCCTCCTCACCAGTGAAGATTCATATTGACCAATAATACAGTGTACTAAGAATGAGTAAAAATGGCACTTTTACATTATGAATTACTGAATGATTGTTAGGGAGTCTTCTTCAAAGGAATGGATCTTTTATGTGTTACATATATAGTTGCGGGATGAGGTTGAACGCTATCAGAATCAGGACAACTAAAACAGTTTAGGTACGTAAACCTGGTCGAAGCTGAAATGCGGAACATATTGATAGACGAATGCAATCATTACAGGCGCACTTCACACGAAAATCACTTAAACCAGAGAAATTCAAGCATCATTCAAGACAATCACACAGCCATCCGCGTCGTTTATATCATCATCAGCATTAAACACAGGTGGATTAGTACCCAAAAATCAGATCCATTTATCTACACAACTCTGTTGTGAATACTGCATAAAGTGGGGTAACAAAGATGCTTTGTGTCAATTGTAGATTGCCCGATTTTTTCACTCAGTTCCTGTGACCGACCCATCTTTGTACCTCTGTCTACCTGCACCTTGAACTCTGAGTCCTCAGTCGTCTTCAACAAGGACGGGTCTGTCGCGAATTAGTACAACCTTCTCTATTGAAGATTGAGAGGGAGCATCACAAGATCCACCATACAGTAGAAGTCATTCAGTTGATTCTTGAATCTGTAGGAAACTGAAGAACGCTTTTCACAACCACATCATTAGAAAAATGTATTCATGATTTTGAACATTTAGATAATTAGTCGCTTCATGCAGACTACATTTCATAAGAAATGCACCCAGAAAAGTACAGATTGAGATTGTTGACGTTGAACCTTACGTGCTTAGGGGTGAGCTGCAGAATAAAACAGTGAATAGTGTAGTATGAAACGAACTAATGACTTCGGTTGTTTTGATTCTATGACTTTCATCGCTGGCCTGCCCTTGCTAATCGTCTTCAATGAACACATTCATCCGGCTTCAACTGCAGGGGGAGTGAGTTCCGAGCTCTTTCCTCAAGTCAATCTCACCGCAACCTGCTTTTTCTGTTTCAGAGAATTGGCTACGACATGTGGATTGGTATTTTGGGCATTCAGCTAAACAAAGAGGACATGGAATTGGCGTGGGGCACGGCCGAGCTGGATGTGCTAAATGAAGAGTGAGTCACTCAACACTAATATGACAATATTTGTTACAACTGGTCGACGCTTCGAAACTGGAGTAATTCTTCAGCGAATATACACTCATTTGCAAACTAATTTGGTTTTTTCGAGAGACTCACCTGCAATCCAGCTGAATCTCTCGTTTGTGATGTTCTCAGGAGTAGCTCTTCTCAAAACTGCACGAAAAGGCGTAGTTTTCGGATTGTTAATCAATCTGGTACCGAATTGTACACGTATTTTTCTTATAATGTCTTTGTAAGTAAGTAGTTTTCTGACTACCAGCTGTTGGTAATTCCACTCGCAGGATGCGGGCCACATTAGCCAAGAAGATCGTGACAACCGTTTATCTGTGTTACGATACTGGTAAACAGCGGTACGGGTTGGAAAATCTATCAGTGTGCTTTTTAAGCACCTATGAGAACAGTCAGAAGATAGTGCTTTCCCCGTGACTAGGGAAAAACTTGGACTATTAGTGTAGCCATTATGAAAGCAGTGAACGCCGAGGGTCCAACAAGAAGACCAAGGAAACGTTTGCTTGAAGATTCACATCTGAGGGGACAGATTTTTCCACTACATGCAATCATTAGATAAATCGCACTGGGCAGTGAATATAGTCTACGTGTAATATCAGGAAATCTGTCATTTATCTATTTCTGGCTTTAAAATAGTTCAAACTGGTGACGCAGCACAATAAACGCGTTCTTTGGAAGACGGTAGACAAGTGTCAGGTTCCACTTGACCAGAAGTTTCACTTGATTTGACTCTCACTAGAATAACGGTCCTGAGTAAAATCGAAATTCGTAAGCGCGCCGATACTTCCTAATCCAATAATGTAGACAAACCCTAAGAATGTTAGCGATGTTGTGATGTATCCAGGCAACTGGATGTGCTGCACCAGGCCACAAACGAGAGATTCAGCTGGAATCTCTCGTAAAACCAAATCTGTTTGCAAATGAGTGTAGTTCGCTAATTTTGTGCAATTTAGTTTCGAGTAGAACATAAGGTTGACGGGAACTCGGGGACCGCGCCCAAGAAGGGAAAAACCGGTCATGGGGTGAACAGTTCTGAGAGTATGATAACGACAAAAACAATGCAATAAAACTGTAACTAAAGAGCTTCAGCGTCAAGGTGGGTGATTTTGTGTATAAGTTCGAAGCGCAACAATTTACCAGAGTAACCCAATCCGCTCTGAGCTGAAGAAAAGCTGCCAACTCTATTTGATGGAGCGGTTTTTCCGGCCAAATGGTGTAAAAAGTTAAACAGAGTGAGCAAATCCGTCTCTTGTTAATTTTCAAATCGGAAATTACCTGTAGTTGGTCGTTGGTTTGCTCGCAAACGTTTCATCACCAATCGAGATGACATCATCAGTGCGCTGTTAGGCGGCGTAGTGGTGCGTAGCGATGGGTCGATGGTTGTGCATTAAGTAGTGTTGCGTGTGTGTCAATATAAGTGTCCTTGGTCCTTCCTAGTTCCGACTTGTGACCTTTATTGATTTAACTGCAAGGAGTTATTGGACTCACGAAGAAACAAATATTCTGTTCTCAAAGGTCACGTGAGCATAGGCGGATCAGGACACGGGATAAGAGAGCTACCAATGGAGCCGCCCGACCATGGTCGGAGGTCAGCCCCAGCTGTCAGTAAGCTTAGTAACGCACAACACTACTCAAAGCACAACCATCACTGCGCTCTCTAACTACGCACTGATGATGTCACCTCGATTGGTGATGAAACGTTTGGGATCAAACTGCCAAGCGAACAAACTTAGGACCATTCACGCTACCTGAGCAAGCAGCATTTTCCTCTATGGATCATCCATAATCCTACGCGTTTAAGTCCGTTGGTCTCCCGACATCCAACCCAACTGTGACAAGGTTGCTATATTGTATATTACCTGAGGGCGAACAACAGTACTGAGGAAACCGAACGGGATAACTAATAGCGATCGATTACTGTAAATTGAACATGGTTGCATGGATGCGTGACGGGTAAAACTCTTACCTAGACTGATGCAGATGAAGGGCCTATTGTCACACGAGATCGTAGATATAAACAAAAATGTCGGTTGACTAAAGTAAAAATCAGATTCATAAACCATTTTCCGGACGGACATGCTGTTCTTCTTTACTAACAGGAACTGGGCCGCTTTGGAACCCAACCTTCATGCAAATGCAACTTGCGCAATTGCCAAGGTATCTGAAAAAGGACGCTGGGTGACGCAGAATTGCAGAAGACAGTTCTTTTTTACATGCAGCTTTGATCTTGATCCTAAAAGTATAACTTGGTAGTTTAGCTGTTGTCTTTTGTCTTTGCATGAGGGTATAAAATTGGCTGCTCGAAAGGCCTGTAAGTGAACTGAATCAGAACACAGTACGAGTGCACATCAGGCGTATAGTGTAGCAGATCGAAACTGTTATGCAGAGACACATGGTCACCCAGTCGGCATACGGACGAAAGAACTCCTTGGGCTGCTCGGTCACATCCATATTACTACATTATCACCTCTGTGATTGGATATTCTCGTAACAACCAGTCCTAAGGCGGCTGCGTGGAGGTGCACTAGACCCTGGCTATTCCACCCTGTACAAGAACGTCGTCCTTTTAGTGCTACTGAATCACGCTGGCATTCCCGAGTTGCACTGGTAAAGTCCGTTAAACTTACAAACGACAGAGTGATGTGACACAGACTGGAGGTTACAGAGGAGAGCAGTCATTCGACACAACAGTTTATGCGAGAAAGCTTATTAGCCCGCCTACTCACACGTAGTTACTGTGGCAAGGTCCGCCAGAGCTATTGAAACAGTTTCCGTGCGCATTTGATTCGTACTCTTCAAATTGAGAAGACCTCGGTTCGAACATGGTTATTTGAGATCAAACGATTCCTCGTAGGTTTTGAGAAGAAAACTATCATTGCCATAAAGTCTAGCAGTTCCGGTAAACCCTTCCCCGCATTCAAGTCTAATAATCTATTGGTAGTACGGAGAGATTTAGGAATTTTCAATTGAGGTTTCTTCATGTAATTGAAGTCAATCTACGCTGAAAAGCACTGTAGAAGCACCGTATTGATGTTTCATCATCAACAGAACGCAATCCACACAGGGAAACTCGAACCCGCGACTTCTCGGCTGGTAATCTGAACACTTAACCGGTCGATCACAAGCAACGTGATTAATTCGCACTTAGCTAGATTTTGATTGAGGAACTGCTCAAACTGTTGCGGCAGCTTCAAGCGAGTCTTCTACACCATGTCGATACAGTAACATAGATAAACGAAGTGACCAAGGCATCTGGTAATGTGCAGCGGGAAGCGATTTTGGAGCAACCTGAAACGCGACTTTGCCGTCACAAACTTGAATGAATTGCATGGCCCCCTTCTAACGGACATATTTATGGCAAGCTTTGAAATGTGAGTAGAACAGCCCATTGGACGGCCGAAATTCTACAGGAGACACGTAGATAGCGTACTTTCCGGAAATTGAGCAGCGATCATCCAAATGTCATATCAGCAGTTGAGCAAGATGTGGATGATACAACTGCCTTCCTTAGTATCCAACTGACCCGTCGAAACGCTGAAACAACACTTCGTAGGCCAGTCCATCAATGAAACGTCTGAATCGATTCTCCTAGTTTAGGGCCGATGTTCTACAAAAGGAGATTAGTTTGAGCATCATGCGCTTGACGAATGAAAGTACACGAAAGATACAATCACCACCAAACTTAAATATCCGTAGGGGAAACCTCGTTTGAAGAAGGATAGGATCGGACAGTCTCACAAAAGCAGAATTCGAAACCCAGAGAAGACAGTAGTAGGTTAGTGGAGCAGCGTTTGGCCTCAGCTGTTAAACAGGCTAGCAAACCCGTAGTGACCTACAAGTACAACCAAATCCCCAACACCTGCGGTTCCAGCAAGCCGGCTATAATATTATTCAGCATCCTACGTGTGGATGCCTTCTCCCGGCAAAACGGAGGGGCAAATTAGAGTTAGACAAGCGAAACATCCCGATTTGGACGCAGCTTATAAATCGATCGGCCCTACCACTCCTGAATGCAAACTCTCATACATTAATAGCTAAACGATCGACAGCTCACCAGTCACTTGAAACTGAGCATCGTGTTGATCGTGTACAGGACCACGAACACTACAGTTTGCTGGATTGATTTCCATCTGAAGATGGAAACCAGGACGATGTTAACAGTTGGTCATATCGTTGAATTCCCTTGGGAAACGGCTTGTTTTTAACATCTTGATTGTAAAGACTTGTTCTATTTTATTTGTATGATATTGTTATCCAGTTCACACGCAAACAGATTGAGCGAAATACTCCATACATATCGTGCAACAGCTCATTTCTTAGTGTGCCCTTCAAATATATAACGGAAGGTTCTATTTCAAGCGTCCCTCTCCGTACATTTAATCTTTCTTATGGGACTAATGCACTTACACAACAGTTCGATTCTTTTACACTGTGGACACAAAATTCTTCTTTAATGAGGTCCCCAGAATGGTAAACAACCGGAAGCCAACATCACTGCAATTTAGTTCCTGCATGGCGAATCGAACGCAAAGACTTTACTTCTACTCCTGGTAACAATAAAGAGCATAATACTAGTGGTCGAGAGCTACATGTTCCACTCGTCACGCACGGTGCTACTCGCTCGAAACAAGTCAAGACTGGACAAATAATAATCACTTTATTTGTGGTAGACGAGATGATGCGGACACTGAAAGGTTTCCAAAACCCTAGTGTCCAAATAGCAGGTTACGAAAACCTCGTCGATCTGAAACGTGCAGAGAGAATCTTAGAAGAGGGAAAGGTACGTGCTTTTGGATGAAGGGATCAAACTCATCCCGTCTTTTGACCATGCGCTCTTCATCCACAAGGTGTAAGGTTACGTTCCTAGACATGCAGTCAGTTAACACGCCATTTGCAAAACATGGAGACGCCAATATATGAATCCTTTCACATATACCGGTTAAAATGTGACGGATGAGGTCAATGCACAAATCTCCAAGACTGGGTTCACGCTTGCTAATTTGAGGCGGCAAAGTTGTATATTCCCAAATCTCAAGTGGCGTGTACACTAGACTACAGTACGGGCTGGTTGAGAGACATGGGCACTGCGAGTGGCTGACCATCAGCGTTATCTCAAAACCATAGCTCGCATAGTCTGATGCCAACAAATCTGCAACGAGATATTTCGAAAGCGTTCAATGGTGTAACGGGGGATTTAGTCGAAGATCCATAGCCAAATTCTGTGGTCGCTTGGTCATCTTTTGTGAATTATCGTTTTCCACGCCCAGATGAGTGGTGCAAGCAGAGGGATAATCAACCTTCGACCTGGTACAGGATGCTGTCCGTGCGACTCACCTTCTGGGATGAGGCCCACGTGACCACCACTGTGTATGGTTGTTGACGCCTTAAGGTATGGCTGCTAATCAATTTAAATACGTTTTCGTTGTCGTGAATGAGTGTCTGGAGGTGTGGGCACCTCAGAATGATTGTGTAGGCTGACACTAGGCCACCTCTGTCCACTTTTATTTTCTTCAAAATAAGGTTCTCAAGTAAATTGTGGTTGTAAGATTTTGAACACTGATGTTGGGCCGTTGATGATGATGGTGAGCCACTTTGTGGGCAAAATTAGCTTGCGAGCCAGAGCGATTGGAGGATCGGAAAATCGTACACCGCTGACTATTCGCCAAAATGGTGCATAGTTCAAGAAATAAGCCCCAGAATTCCTCGCACCGGAACTTGGAAAAGGGGTCTCTCAACGGTTCGTTCAATTTGAAGGAAAAGCAAAGCAACCTCGCATAACTTGATATTATTATTATTGAAAATCACCCACAGTCTGCGAAACCCAGCTATCCTCAAAGTCGCTTAAAAACAAAGTTCTCTACATCTGTTTAATCTGGCAAGATCTCGAATTTTTACGATCTACGGGACTGCAGAGGGCAAAGTAAAATGAACCGTTGTACTATACACTCGTTGCATTTCACTACATACATCCAAATGTGTATTACTTACGAAGAATCAAAAGTGGAACTGAGAAGCAGAATGCTGACGCGCTTATGATTCTTTGAATCTATCTTGACCCCAGACCCGTTTATTATTCGTTACGACCCACTACTAGAATCCGCTGTAGAAACAAGTGCTCTGAACTATGGAGTCGGCATAATTAATTTTCATGTAGCCTTCATCAGTTGCCATTAAATCACTTCATATGGCAAGACGATTGCACTCAACTACGGGTAACTACGAGACTGAGGGAAGCTTTGTTGATCTAATGTGCCGTGGAAACTTAACGTAAGCCACGGTAAGCCTGTGCACACTATATTTGGTTGGAGGGACCGAGGTCGGTTTACAGCGATGGACTACAACGCTGCTGAAGTACGAATTCAAGATTACGTATTAGCTGACTGATCATCGTCTCAGATCGGCTCAATTTGACGAGAAACGGATGATATCGTGATTGGGGCCATTTTCTTCGTGCGAGAACCGAACCAGTGTTGGAGGACGTTCTCACTCTCCTAAAGGGAGCTAGTCGAGGTTCACTGCTGAGTTCGTATCGAAAACTTCCACCGTGGCCGAGCTCGAGTGTTTCAGTGATCCTACGAGCTATCTGGATGGAAATTCGTTTCACAATGTTAAGCCACGCCGGGAAAGCCAAAAATGCAGTTACACCGAGGCCTTTGAGTCCCGTACTATGGGTAATTATATTGCGGAGCTGTCTGGGTAGAAAGTCGCACATTACTTTGCGACAGAAGCGTGCAACAGTGAGGTGTTATCTTCATGTGACCAATGCTTGCATATTTGTGGACGTAGTGACACTAATCTCCCCAAAAAGCAACGGGTTGGAAATGGTTGGCCTATAGACAGGATTGTTTAATCGCCCAACGGTTTTCCGTTGCCAACAGTGCATTACTCAATATGGTCGAAACATTCAAAACCAAAAGTTCTCATGCCACTGAGAAGGCATTCGCGTGATATGCGCAGCTTCATTAGGAGTTAGACAGTTATCCTTGGCTTCCTGCGTCCAAATTGGCGGGAAAGTTCCCCAAAGGAGACTCTAAAAACCCGCTGCCTTGTGGTCCAGATCTTTTAGTCAGAGACTAGGGTCACCGAAAAAGACTACTAATGCGGCTGCGCATAGCACGTATCTTTTGAGTAGTATGATCCCCTTTGGTTTTGAGTGTTTCGGCCATATTGAATAATGCACCTGCGGTCACGGCCAACCGTTGAAGTGTGCGGGTTTTAGGGCCGACTTTTTCTAACTTATCCTTTCTCAAGAGAAGGCAGCATCGCTGTTCTCATAAATATGAAAACGCTGGTATCCCAAAGGAAAAACCTTACTGCCTTCACACTACTATTGCAGAGGACGGTACGACTTTACCTCCAGACCGTCTCGTAATACGATTTCTTGCAGTGGGAGGACTCGCTTTTCTTCGTCGAGCTGCTCTAAACTGGCCTTCCTGGTATGTTTGAACCTTGTGGAACTGAGTTCCAGTCGGTGTAGCCTGCAGGATCACTGCAGTACTGAAGCCCGACCACCAAAATAAGGTGGCATCTTTATGTCAGCGTGCTTCATACTAATGTGTGAATGGGCAACGTGACGTCCAAGCACAGGAGATACAGCAAAAGTTTCAGTGGTTAAGTGGGTCTGGTGAGAAGATGAAATTGACAATGCTGAGGTACGTCAAACGGTTTAAAAATGAAGAACTCTCGCGACAGGCGAGTTAATTACATTTCATGCGTTACACTCATCACGGTACGTAATCCGGAAGAAGCCGAGCGGCACAGTCCACTTGCCAATGAAGAATGGAAGTCCAGTAAACTCAATCATGTTGACAACTGCCGCCTCCTTAGATGGGGGCCCGACCCTTGACTCGTCAGCAGCTAACAGCAGACTCGACCCAGCAAAGTAGCCAGTGGCGCTCCTTCCGTGTGCAGTTATCCTATTTCAACTTCACCACATCCACTAGCTTATCAAGCGATCGAGCTCAGTGTTCGAATATAGGTTTCCAGGATCCCCGCTCTGCGTGAACGAAACTGTGCTAACTGGAATCCAAGTAACCTTCGAAGAATGCTGATTCAGTTAAATGAATACGTTGTAAAAGTTCATGCAGTGCCACCGAAAGCATCGGCTGCGCAGTTAAACAAACGGTTAACTAAAGCAACCCCGCAGTTGGCTTAACTCAAACCATTGTTGACGGACGTGTTTTGTCTTTGGGACAAGTTGCCATCCCACGAGAGTTACAGTAAGCCGTGACCCCGAAATCGATCAAGAAAAAGGGTTTGGTTCGCCCCCGGGAACTTTTATTTTATTAAGCGAAGTCGCTGCGTTTTTATCGGTGCACAACTAATCCTTCTGGAAGCTACAATGAGACCACCGTACTTGGACAGTTCTGCTACGAGCATGTCTCTTCAAGTTGCCTGGCCATTCCACAACTGCATATTCTCTTGCCGTACCCCTTTCGTAGTCCGAGGTAAGTTCAGGGACATCGAATTACAACTTCTGTTGAGGTAGTATGTCCGTTGCAGTCCACTTGACACAAGTCGGTCCGTTCAGTTTACTTAAGTGCTTGTGCTATATATCCAACAGTTCTTCACGTGACGTCAGTATCCTGGAAATTTTGGGTCGGTTCGGTGCTCGACCCATGAATGGCTCTCAGACAATCGTGAAGTTCCTTGTGTTGCTGCCAAGAGGTGAATTCCTTCAACTACTCATTTCGCTTTTCCCACCATTCATCCTTAATTCGATTGAGTTACCAAGCTCAGTGTTTGATCCAGCACTTCTTCCTAGTTGATGGGCAGACCGACGACGCTGCCAGCCAGAACGTATCCAGGTCGACCCACGTCGAGCTCGTTACCGACTGTTTGGGATACGAATACCATACGAGAACTCCGTATCCTTGTGTGAGCTAAGGAACTTCCGACATACTTGAATGTCAAACTCAGGATATGTATAATCACTGTCAATTTCCGGAGTATTGTTCGGAGCATTAAAGTTGTGTCCAAGGTTTTGTCTTCTAACCATTCCGCTGTGCTAGGAGTCGGGATCAGGCAACTTAACTGGGATAGAATATCGTCACAGTCCGCTCATAGTATTGTTTGCTCGCTGCGTTATGGAAACAACACATCAACGGGAGAGAAGTCAACATTGCGATCTGGAAACTGCGTGAGGGATGATCACCCCTGGCACCGAAGCTGGACTGTTGGAGTCGTCCTCAAAAGAATCGGTAGGTGATTTGATATATATATATATATATATATATATATTCAGTGTCACTTTTCTGTAGACTGTCTGTTGTTCGCAGCATCCAAGTTGTGTCCAAGGTTTTGTCTTCTAACCATTCCGCTGTGCTAGGAGTCGGGATCAGGCAACTTAACTGGGATAGAATATCGTCACAGTCCGCTCATAGTATTGTTTGCTCGCTGCGTTATGGAAACAACACATCAACGGGAGAGAAGTCAACATTGCGATCTGGAAACTGCGTGAGGGATGATCACCCCTGGGAAGCTAGCTGGACTGTTGGAGTCGTCCTCAAAAGAATCGGTAGGTGATTTGTGGCGTCTGGGTGGAATCATTGAAATGGAGACGACATGTCAATCAGATACGACAGACTCTCCGAAAAGCGGGAGAACAGTCAACAGACTTCAACCTGTTGCGCGACCACCACTAATAGCCACTGCTTCACATGCATCGCCCAGAACAGATCCACTGATGCAACCGAGATGCCATACTGGCCGCGCTAGAAAACAGGTGGAGTCTTTTGAATTTTATCCGCACCGACAACCTGACGTTGAACTACCGAAACGGGAAGGCATATCAAGAAGGTCAGATTCCTGAAGATTATCTCAGAATACCCTAAATCACTCCGCTCCAGTAAACGCTAAACAGATAGTTCTGAGTCAAAGCCAGACGGTGCGAGACAAACTTGTATCACACCAGATAGTATTGAACCAGGGAGAGACAGTGCCCTTCAAGAAAAATAGCTTGAGGCCAGTGTGCTTCCGGAATCGCACTCGCTTGTTCGTAATAGGGTTCTTTGTCTCCGGCATTAGGCACTGGAGCGGGGCAGCAGTCAGATGTAACAGATTGGTGACGCAGTTGGATAGGATACCATATCTCTTCAGTTCGATTGCAACAAAGGCGATGCACCTCGCAGTATGGTCATCCAGCGATTAACGGTCCCCTGTAAAGTGAATGAGCAGCAAAAAAACAAATTTGCATGGATTGTTACGACACTTTCTACGGTAAATCAGAAAAGGATAGCACTGTTTGAAGCATGATACAGCTTGATATAATGCATGCAAAACTAAGTTTGAGGTAAAACCGAAAACAAACACAAAACCTTTCTATGGTGAACATGAAGAAAAACCCAGAATGATGTTGAAAGACGATAATCAGATTACTACCAGCTACGTTTGGATTAAAACACAGCAGACCTTCTCAATGAGACACCGAGGAACAGTTGCAACCAAACCACAAAAGAGTCGCATCCTGATGAACATCTTGTGCATATCAAGAAGCTCTGAAAAATATACTACCAATATTCAACGATTTCGTCTGTTGAAACTGAGCAAAACTAACAATCCCGAGACAGTTCATTGATCACGGAAGATGATGAAACCAACTAATGAATGACCCGAGATGTACTTTAGAGATTATTGCACGAACCGAAACGAAAAACTTACGGAAGGAATGAAAAAAGCACAAACAAAGTGAACATCCGACGGAAAATACCAAAGATACGGAATAAATAAAAACAACCAAAAACTAAGATCACAAACATCCACGGTCTAAGTGACACAAAGGCCTATGCATGTACAAAGAAACCAGAAAAACACTAAAGAGAAAAGAGAGAGAGAGAGGAAACTGACGCCACTAGAAACACAAAAAACGGACGCAAGCACAGAAAAACGCACCAACCACTAAGACACAACCCACCTGGTCGACAAATCATCCATCGCCTTCCCCGCCCCGACAAGCCACACATCATCCGGCACCGAGCTACCGACCAAACCTAAAACACAACAAAGTAACACAAGAAAAGTAACATGTGCTCAAAATAACCAAACACCCACAAACTCGCTCACATGTACCACAAACGTGGTCAGATACTGCGTAATCACTGGTTATCAGGGAGGGCAAGAAATCATCAGCATATGCAACCATAAACAACCTCGTCACACTACACTCACCTACAGTCCGTACACCACCGAAATCCACATGGTCGACACACGGCACTCTCAACGACACCCGATCCAAAGACAGCCAAATACTGTCTGTCAACCGAGTACGGACGCTCAAATCTCCACTGCATCATTCAAAAACATCGACAACGTCAAAGGCCCACATAGCCCGAAACCCCAACCGCCAGCACAACACATCGACTGCAGCAAAATTCCAAACAATCGGCCATCACTCCATTGTGACGACCCAGATCCGCAAAACTCCACCACGGGACAACCAAAGACAACGACCGACCTGCAAAGAAAACACACAAATTACAAAACAGATTATTCACATGTCACAGCAGTCACCACGTAACAACACACGTCACAAATTCCACACTGTCAGAAACACAAACAACATCACATACGCACGCATGCTAACACGAAGCAGGCGAGTCCGAGTGAGCTGGGATGGCATCACAGCAACAAAAACGAAACGACCGTATCAATGAGCCAACTCACAGAACAACCGTGCTGCCCGACAAATCGTCCACCGTAACCGCGAAATCACGAACAACGCCACAACTCAACCAAACCTATACAAACAGAAAACAAAAAGAAAAAAAAACAAATAAACTCGCGCAATCTCATCGCTCGACAAAACCAAACCAATATACGCCAACACAATCTCAGAGTATCGATCGTCTATCAGACCCAGTCAGAAGACCGTCGTGATACTCAAATCATCATCAAACAAATCCGTACACATACACATACGAAAACAAACACAATAATAAAAAACAACAGACACAAACTCACATCCAACATCAACATCGGGGCCGAAATAGAATTCGACACATCCGGAGGACATGCAGACGGAATATCCTCGTCTCGAACCACATCCACACCGAAAGACCACTGTGCAAATCCAAATAGAAACGAAAACCAACATCACAATCAACAAAATCATCGGAAACCGCACTAACACAATCAGACCATTCGTAGTCACACATTGTCTGCGGGTAGGCAGACGGGTAGGCGGGTATGCGGGACGGCAGACAACGGTGGATGGTTTCCATCCACCCAACCAACCACACTAGTCCCCAAAACCAATACAAACAACCACATCAAAACCAATGCACTCAAACGCTTACTCGTCCTAGAGACACAACCCACCTGGTCGACAAATCA